GATCATTTGAAGTACAAAGTCAGGTTTCAGTAAGATTTAGTAATAAATAGCTGGTATTTTAGCAAGCCTGATTTGCTATTCACATTTAAAGGAAGAATTTCTAAATTTGTCTTCATAAGACTGTACATCAAAGGAGGCTTGTGCTAAGTCCTCTTGGTCAAATTACAGTTTAATGCAGTATCTCTGCACGTGTCAGTTAATCTTAAATAGGCTGAAACAGTGCAAGGCATTCTCTGCGCAAGCTGGTCGTTACAGGAATGAAGCTGACCTGCAGATTCTGCGAAAGGAAGAGAAAGAACAGAAACCTTGCTGATATAAATAATTTTGCATGGCACATTAAAAAAAAAATCTCATTTTGTTTGGGAAGTGTTGCAATCGTGACACTTCCTGGACTAACCAGGCTGGTCTGTCGGCTGATCATGTAAGACGCTTACATTTATGCAGATATTTAGTCTACGACACCAAACTGAATATTCTCTCCTAGAACTGAGGGCAGTTTTAAATCCAGTATTTTACTATTTTCTTTTAATTGTGCATGTGATCTTCCTCTGAGTAAAGTTAATAGGAGTATTGCTGTATTACAAGATCAGTCCACTCTTGTGCAACCTACATATAGTTTGAGTTAACTCCAGAAATGGTGCGAATGAAGGTGCTGCTCACTGTGTAGAAGGGTGGAAAAACTTCTCCATGAGGTTTTCGAGGTTTATTGATAAGCACAGCAGCTCATTCATAGCTGCTGCCACTATTAACATTACAATCTATGGCCTGTGTATTTTTTCCAGGTGAAAGACACTATTGGCTATGACACTTTGGGGCACTGTTTCTTCCTTGAAGATGGGACAGAGCAACGCAATACGTTCTATCACAACTTGGGTCTCCTCACAAGGTCAGGAACGATCTTACCTTCAGATCGCAATGAAGCCATGTGCCTAGCAATCCGTAGCCACGTCTATGGGAATTATGTTCCCGTGCCAAGCACGGACTGCATGTAAGTTCCTCAGCACCTGTAGTCATTTTTTGCTCTTGCATTGCACTTTTTAGCTTAAAGAATGTTGTGGCAAAACTAAACTTTTCAAAGGGGAGTGTACGTGATCTCCTTTTTACATAGTGCCATTTGAAGTTAAATGAAAAGCTGTAGCTTTTCCTATCATTTCTCATTTTGAAATAATTTAGCTACTTGGCAGTGTTTCACATGTGGAGATACCTGTTAAAATCTGCCTGAATCCTAACAATGCATATTTGCTGTTGTTTATTCTGTTTTGCTCCTGAGAATCATCAATGTGTTAGAACATTTTCCTCATTTCTAAAGTCTTTTTAATCTTTTTAAGTAGGATGTTGAAGGCTCCGTGAAATCTGTGTGATAAATGTAGGTTGTTTCAGCACTGATATAAGCTGGCATAAATGTCACTTACTTCCAAGGGAGTTTTTTGCCTGTTTTCACCAGGGATGAATTTGGACTGCAACATCTAGAGCAAATCAGTAGTACATGAGTACATTAATGTCTAGAGTAAATCAGAAGATTTAGTGAGCATGTACAGATTAGCATAAATTACAGTGAGTCTCATTTATAACACAATAAACACTATCCCATTATAGCTGGAGTTCACTTCTGTATCGGAGACTGGTCTACTGCAATAGGGGCCCTCAGGTGAGCCAGGTGCTGACCTGGCTAATGTTTGAAAGGAAGAACACAGTTTAGCCAAGGAAATTTATGTTGTCATGTTTTCAGGAAAAGAATCCAGGGGCCAAACCCTGTTTATTTTTACTTATTCAAATCACCCTACTGAATTAATTAGAACTATTGTTGTCGGAATGCTGCAGTTGACTGCCTGGTTAATGTAGATTTATTTAGCACCTATTTAGTGGTTCAGTTCATCCGAAGGCATGTGGATTCTTGAATATGTAATAGTTAAGGCAGATAAAAAATCATGGGGATTTTCTGCTTAAAATGACCCGATTAACTGGTGTGATCATTAGAAAATATTTACGATGTTTTTACATGTGCTCTTTATTATCACAAAAGGTGTTATTAAATGAAGTAAAACAACAGATGATAATATTTTCATAACTACATCTGGCTTCTGTTTGTGCCTCCTCTGATCTGTCTGAAGCAAAAATTCTTTATTTGAACAAATGTCAAAATGGTATCTCCTTAATCTCCCACTTAACAAAACCTTTGTGGCTTGCAAGGACATTTGTTTTGTATTTCTTGGAAAAACATCATAAATCCATAGCGAATCCCATACCTCCTGCCCTTCCCCAAAGTAGAAGTTTGCTTTTCAGACTTTTTCCAAACGTTTTAAAAAGTAACATCAGTTTTTTTTAAGCTGCATTTAACAGAGCATGGATTTTGTGTTAATGGTCCGATATAATTTACAATACTTTCAGCATGTGGCTCCGTAAATGAACATGTCTGACATCACTAGATGCTTTTTTTTTTTTTCCTTAAAGAGTATCATTAAAAGGTTGTGTGGAGTTTTAAAGTCAATGGGAGCATTGTGGCTGAAGTCCAGTGCAGTGCTATGAAAATGTATCCCTTCCTGTTTGGTAACTGCTTAGGATCATTTTAATTTTGATTTTTCAGGGCTGTGAGCACATTCTGGATTGCAAATCCAAACAACAACTTAATAGAGAATGCGGCAGCTGGTGCTCAGGTAAAATCGTTTAACAGCCAGAGCTATGTATTGCCTCCAGTTCCCATATATTCTGCTCTTACTGATGTTGTTAGCGTGAGGGCAATGAATTTTTAGTGCATCGTTGTAAAATCTGGATATGTATTTCCGCATGAGGCCAAAAGCAATTAGGAAATTATAGGCCAAATATGCAACCTCACAGAATATCGTCTGGAAAGTCCTGTTTGCACTCAGAGACCAGCCTTGCACACCTCATGTGCCTTTGCCTCTCTTAAGAACAACTGTTTGCCTACCACTCTCACGCTCATATCTCTGATACAGTTTTCCAACACAGCCGCGCCTGGAAATGGTGTGTGGAAGTGGTTAATATGCCAAGTAAAATTTACATATGTTCGTATTCTGGCTATGTTATCGTCTCTGATGTTTACCCAAATTGTGTTTGTGTTTAATATGCCTGTGTAGAAGAGGTTATGCTTTCTAATAAACCACCTCAATATCACCCACAATACGTGTATTTTTAAAACTCGTGTGAGTGTGTGTCCCAGGGGTGGGTGCGCTGTGTGTGTCCCAGGATAAGTTGGGAGGTATAAGAGCATGGGCTGGCGAATGTCTCCAGGACTCATACGTGTTTTGCGCGCTCAGTTTAGAAATCTGGCCAGTACAGTGGGATAATGTATATCATTAATTGTACTGTCCCATTTCTTTGACCTTCTGCTGTTCTTTAGGATGTCGGGATATGGTACATCTTCCACCGGGTTCCGACTGGACAGTCCGAGGGGCAATATCCAGAGGGACAGGCTGAACATACCCCCTTGGGCGTGTTTTCCAACAACAGAGTGCACTCCAATTTCAAGGTACGTGGATGAATTTTGTATGTTACTACCAATGTAATAACAAGGCTTAGGGCTGACCATGTGTTGTGCTCCGATATCAGAAGACCATTGTGGGTACCTTACCCACATGAAGAGGTGTTTCTGTGCTTCTCCCTTGTGGGGTAGGTGAGTATTGATGCTCTGCTTGCTCAAAGGGCAGCAGTAATCTGCTCCCTGGCGCACGGGGCAGTAAGATGGCTCAAAGGGCTGCTTGCTACAGGGACGACACAGGAAGATATATGCCACTATAGATGAAGGCCTAGCTTCATCTCATTTAGCTTTAGCTGGTTAACTGGGGTGCCTTAGCAAAGCGCATTTGGCTCCCTATTGCCAAGAGACAATCAGCTTTTGGGATGCTCTTTCCACTGATTACAGAGGGAGCAGAGCGGAACAGAGCTCCTCAGTCGGGTGCTTTGGTTGGGAAGCTCCCAGGCCATAGGGCCACCTACAGTAGTGAGATCAAGGAAGTGCAGGCACGACACTGAACACACTGCTGGCTGCAGCGCTGCAAGGAGTTACGAGGTGAGCAAAAGGAGCTCTGCCAGGGCCAGCTCATCACCTTTGAAAAATGAGACCAAAAATTCAAGGATAATTGCAAGAAAAGCTCTTTTTGCAAAATATACTGTTGTCAGGAGAACTTAACCTGCAAGCTATAAAAAAACATTTTGAACTTATTTCTTAGGATTCTAAACTGAAATCAGTGCTGCTTTCTGTGCCTCGCGTGTATTGTATCTTGGTCCATGACAGCTGTTGCTCTCCTGAAATTTTTAACTTGGCTACAGTGCCTCATGTTCTCTTTTGACTGTCGAGGGACTCGGCACTCTTTAGTTAAAGCCTTGCTTCTTAACCACGCTCTTTTTCCAGAAAGTTATCAAGAGCTTGGCAGAAACTCTTGGTGCTTTCTGCGAGAGCGAGCGAGCGAGTGGGAGTTCAGTGCCTTGCGCTGGGTCAGAAGACAGCCCAAGACGCTGATGCATAACATATGGCGGCGCAGTGCTGCGTCCTGACTTCAGCGCGCTACATCCTGTGCTCGTGTCACGCCGAGCAGTGCCAAGTGACACGGAAAAAGGAGCACGAGCCCAGCCTGCCGGGCGCGCGCTGTGCCGGAGCACTCTGGCTGCCCCGTTCATTGATAAAACCTGTGACCTCTAGTCTCTGAGGTGCAGTCTGTTAAAATAATCGGAATTATGTGTATTTTCAGGCCGGTTTGTTTATTGGTAAAGGAGTAAAGACAACGAGAGCCAGTGCTGAGGATCCCAGAGAGTATCTCACTGTAGACAATGCCAGGTAAGCACATACTGTACGGCTGAGTGGTTTGGTTTCTTGCATTGCTTTTTGGCCCCTGCTTTGTATTCAGCACATCATTATGGCTCGTTACGGCTGAGCATCTGAAAACGCACACAAGCTATCCGTGATGTCTAGAGGCACACACTTCATAGCCGTGAACTGTTTGTATTATTGCTGCTCAAAAATGACCCGCGTGCACTTGGGGCTATGAGCACCGAGCAGTGAAGCACTTGAGAAAGGATCTAGAGTCCATTATTCCTTTAGCAGGTTTGGAAACTTCAGCATTGCTTATTAATTATTTAGAGGGATTTAGATCTGAAAGATGACATAAGAGATTGCTGAGACAAGTCTATGATTAATGAGGAAAGTAAGGTTCAGTTAATGTAGTCTCAGTGCTTTCTGTCAGTATATAAACATGTCTACTGAAATTTTCTCAGCTTCCTTTCTCGGAGCGGGAGCAGGTAAATTAATGCCATTTTCCTGCTCGCTGCAGACCTGTGGGCCTATGTGAGAAGGATACGGCAGAAATCAGCCACCGCTCTCAGTCGAGTCTTGGCTTTTCTCCTCCTCTGTCATACATCATTAATGCCAAGTATGATTCTCCCTTATGGCTAAAATACAAGGTCGATCTTGCCTTTCTTGCTGTGACTTCTTTCCCAGGGCTGTCCACTTGGACTCTAGGATATGTCTCAGTATCTCAGCTGGAAGAAGTGGGATGCGAAGGTAGACTGAGAAAAAACAGATCTTTTTCTTCCTAAACACAGGACAAGTCTCCTGTTAACAGCCAGTGTGGCAAAAAATATTCCAAAAGTAATCGAGAAGCATCAAATTTCTAGGCTGAATCCTTTTTTCATGTAATAGTTTCTCTTTTGGCAGAGCAGGAAGCATATGGAAGCACATGTATGTGCAATGAAAGCATCTCCAATTACTCTGTTATCTTTGCTGAATGAGATTTTGAAAGCACCTAATTGATTTTTTTCTAGCATGAATCCAGGGGTTCTCAATGGGGCTGGTAGGGGCAATTATGAAAGGACCCAAGTGACTGGGAAAAATGCACTCTATGCCTCTAAATCATACTGAATCAAATTAAGGAATAACTGTGGGCTTACTGAAGTCTAGTGAGACACCGTCTGTTGGTTTGACCGGGGCCAGACTTGCACCCTTATTAATGTTTACTCTTTTCTACTTTGTAAGAAAGTACAGTAATGAAATCAAGCTAATACTCTGACTGCGATCCAGGATATATTATTACTTCTTTAGGCCCATCCTGCCAATATTTAGAAGCATTATGAGCTCTGACTGGCAGGACCTCCTGCGTCTAACGTTTTTCCCTATTTCTTTAGTGCTGTATTAACCAGGCTCCTTGCTTCAGGTTTCGCCCACATCAAGATGCTGATCCTGAAAAGCCGCGAGTTCCTGCCGTAATTGATGGTCTTATTGCTTTTAAAAATAACGACCATGGGGCCTGGGCCAGGGGCGGCGACATTATTTTCCGCAACTCTGGGTAGGTTACTGTAATTCGGTGTTGTATCGCTCGCCTCACGACAGACATAAATAGGTCTGTAGGCCAAACCTACCCCAGACATTCCTAGTAATTTGCACCTTCGTGTTTCTTCTGTCCTAGGTTTTCAGACAATGGAATTGGACTCACTCTAGCGAGGTAATTTCTTCAAATGTGCTTTTTTTCCTATTTTTTCCCACAATGTAACATTCCCCTGATAATTACGGCAAAACACAAGAAAACCTCACATTTCCTTCCCAGACCGCATCAAGTCTTCCTGGTGCAGTAGTTAATACAAGGGGCAATCTGGCCTTTCATTCTCTTTGCCTGGGGAGCGTGTCATTAGAGCTGATTATTTCCTCTTGGACTGTAGGTCCTGAAGCAGTAGACTAAACATTTGCCTATACGTTTGGGGAGACTTTCCTTGCAGTGTAGCGAGGCCAAGCGAAGGCGGCTGCAGCGGGGGTGCTGCGGGGCAAGCAGCGGGGCCGGCTCCTGCCGCCGGCATCCGGATGTGCTCCGGCTGCTCCCGGCCGACCCCCTTGCAGAGAGGACCCACGAAGAAGAGCCACGTCCAAAGCCCCCTGATGGCCAAGTACCGAGCTATCTCGGTGGCTAGTATTAAGTTGCTGGTTTCTAAAGAGGTTTTAAACCAGGCTGTTATACCGGTGGATGTGCTTTTTTTTTTCAAATTAAAAACATTCTTCTGTTTTTAGAAGTGTTATTAAAAGTGTTAATTCATCCCTCGCCCTGCGCTGCGTAGTTATCTTGTATTTCTTTGTCTGATTATAGCGATGGAACTTTCCCAACAGATGATGGCTCCAGCCTGGAGGTGTCACGCTCCATTTTTGTTGGAGAAAGCAGCAACCTTGGCTCCCGGGGAGGCCAAAACAGCTATTGGGGAAGAGGGGCAAATGGAGAATACAGAACCCTGCCCAGAAACAAGTAAGTTATTTATCTACCGTTTCTTCCTGGCGTTAGCATAAGCTAGAATAAAAGCCTCAGGAATGAATGTGACTAGGAAAGAGTAATTTATACCGGATGTTTAAATTATTGTACAGGCCAGAAATAATAAGCCTCCGAATAAAGTTCTTCTTCAGGCCAACAGTTTGAGAGCTTCCACAACTGAATGTGTTTGATTTAATTTTCTGCTTAATTTATTAGTCACTGGAGAGCAGATTAGAGAATCTGAGAGATACCAAATTGCTTTTCCTTAGTGTTGCAAACACAAATGGTGTCTGGACATGCCAGCCCAGCATCGCAGGGAAAGCTGTGCAAGTCCCAGCTGGGCTGGACGGGGAAAGGCAAGGTAAAGCTGCTCGTATGTCTTACCCACAGCCTCCGTGGAGAAATGCAGCCTCCCTCCCCAGGCACACACAGAAATCCCTGGGTGAAGACGGTGCCATACATACGCAACGGTGCCGTACAGCTTTCTGCTCTTCCTGCCAGGGTACCTGGGCAAACAGGGCCACTTTGACAAAGGGAAAAGATCTCTTTATTGTGCATCTCATCCCTCTTTCAAAGGCTGTAAATTATTTTGTGTTTTGATAGTAACACAACTTCCTCTTCAGCAACCGCTGCACCTACCCACGCTCCCCGAATAAGCCAGGCTTTCTCAAGCCTAAATTCTAACCTAATGTCTGTTCTCGGTAATGGTTGTCAATCGTTAAACCATCTAGTGAGCAATGTTAAGTTAAACAATAAGCGGTACTTGGCAGACACGTCTTGCACAGAGCCTTGACTGTGCATGTCTTGGCCATAACAGATGTAGGAATGGGAACCTGTGTAAGACAGCAAGAATAATCAGAGCTGCCCTCAGCTATTATTGGTGGTGGTGCTTTAATTGCAATTACAAGACAGCTCCTCTGCAGTTTAATCAGCCTTTAATCATCTGTCATATTTATTGTTAAGCGACGTACTCTTGGAAAAGGGGGAATATGACAAACGTCTGATATTTGTTCTCTCCACGAACCACAGTGCTAAATGGCATATAGAGGTGATACCAGTCCCAGCCGCTGGGCTCGCCATGCCAGAAATCAAAGGCATTTTGTTGGCAAAAGCAACAAAGAACAGAGCAAGCAGGAGCGCTGCTTGTGCCTGGTGTTTTCAATCGGCAAAGTGTTTCTGGGTACCTGGAGCCAACCAGTAAGAAAAAAGACAGGGGGTTTAGGAGAAATCTGGATCTACCTTACCCACAGACCAGAGAGACTCTGTGAAGCCCTTTGCAGGTTCGTGCTGTCTGCTTTGTGGCTCTTATGTCTGAACAACCCAGCTGTCTTTCTGACAATGGGTAGGTAAAGACCTACCCATATCTCTACTGGTCACTTCCTTGTAGGGTATGAAATCAAAGTTGGCGTCCCTTTAATCAAACAATGCCAGGGCTGAACGAAACTCGGTACCTTCTCAAAACAAAATATGGAAGAGGTAAGTACTTACCTGCAGCTCCAGTGGTGTCTCCTTCAACTCTGACGGCTTGACAGCACATCTGTATGCCAGTGCTGAAGGAATCGCCTTTCTGTACAAAATGCGGCACACTAGGTCCTGGGGATCTCCTGCACAGCATAGCTGGTGGGGAGAGGAGAAGCTGTGCTCTGCCACCCGGGAGTTATTTCCAAGGAGCCATTTTGGCCTCCAGGGAGTGACTGATATCGTTTTCTCAATCCTGCTTATGTTTTCCTGAGAAATCCATCTAGCCTGGAACAGGAAACCTGACGGGAGGATCCAACACAGTCCATACCCAGTGGGGTTTCCTCAGAGCAGTGAGTCCCTGGGGGCAGGGGATGACAGCTTTGACCTGCTTTACCCCAGCTGACAAGCCTTAAGCTAGGAGTACGGGTTGCTTTTTTAGGCCTTTTGTCCTCTGAAGGATGTTCAGCAGAATTTCACCTTTCGTTAATTGTGTGATTACCATCTAGATCCCAGTTTTAGGAAAAAAAAAAAGAGTTTTAGCTCTTGGTAATACCTTTCTGTTCTTTGGGGAGAGGACTCAGACTTTGCCCAAACTTTTTAATATAGATTTCTGGGTTTTTTTAAATCTCACAGGACATTCCCTATTCGTGGATTCCAGATTTACGATGGGCCTGTCAGAATGGCAAAATGCACTTTCAAGAAGTTCACCCCAACTGCTGACAGATACTCGAGTGCCATTGGGTTCTTCATGAAAAACTCCTGGCAGATAAGCCCCCAGAATAATGTGTCACAGATCCTGATGGAGAGAAGTGTAAGTAAGAAAAGCAGGAATATGTGCTGTTAGATGTGCAAGTTTTCAAAGTTTTTATAAGTGAGAAATTTATTCTAGAGCAGGAATTTCCGGGCTGTGGTGCATGTTACATTGGTGCATACCATAGATTCATTTTGCAACACTTTCTTTTTTTAATGAAGGTTATTTGTAAGCCAGTAAAATTCAGGAAATACTGATACAGAGATGCCTTATGCCTGGGAGGACATGCATAAAAAATCTGCAGTAGAGGAAGGTTTCACCTTGTAACCAGAACATCCAGAGCACCGGTCTTAGCGGGTGAGGCATTGCCCACTTATCTATGCTGAGGACCACCAGGCCTCAGAATTTGGGAAGGACGCAAATGAAACGTCAGGTGTCAGTGGCCCTGCAATACAATTCTCATAAATAAATAAGCAAATGCAAATACAAACAAAGCCACGGCCCACGTTCTGGGGTCAGCAGTGGAATTTCTGTTGAGCACAACAGGGACTTTCCTTGAGAAATGACAGCAGAATGGGACTCTTTATCTGTGCCTTGGCAGGAGGCGTAGGATGCTGAGCAATTCCAGTCCTTGTCCTGGATTCATGCAGGAATCATGTCCCTCGACACTTGGCCTGGGAGATGACAGATTCCACCTGGCTCACTCCCAGGGATCACAACCTCCCCTTAGCTTTCCTGAAACAAGGTCCATGCCTGTTAGGATGTCCATGAACTCTAGTAACTTTGGCTTGAGGTTTGGCTTTATCGTAAGGAAAATTTCCATTGCTCTGGAAGTGACCAGTAGCACTTCCTCTGGCAAGCGGTCAGTTTGTCTGTCTCTACTCTGTTACACTTAGACCAATAACAGGAGGATGTTTTATGCAGAGATGATATTGATTGCAGTCACTTGACTGTTCCGTTAGTGAAAATACCGTCCCTGTGCATTTCAGTGAAGAGACCTTAGCTGTCTTAGTTAGTGTAGGGAGCATTAGAGAGAGAATAATGGCTAACGTGCTGTACCTTTTTTATGTCCTCCATGGGAAAATGGTTACAAGAACATGGGGAACATGCATGAGACTATCAGCATGTAACAGGAAGGGGATGCTTAGAGAAAAATGTAAAATGAAAAAGTTTGATCCTTCAGTGGATCTGAAGAGAGTGGAAACTTTCCTCTGATGATGACTGTAGGACTCTATCCAACAGAATGGTTTCAGAGAGATTGTATCTGTGCACATTAGCAAAGGGGATAATTACCTGTGGAATAGCTGAAAATGCAGCTCTTTAATACTGTTGCACCATTTGAGACCCATGAGGCTGTAAAATATCCCAGCACTTTTTGTCTCAGACAGTTTAATAATGCAACACCTTTAAAATCTGACTTTTTCAAGGTAAAAATGATCAGAACACTTGCTAAAGGCTTCTGTAAAGCAAATTAAAGTAATACAGCTTCAGTCTATTATTAAAAAAAAGACATTATCCAAATAAATATTTCTTGTATATACGTTTCCAACAAATGTGTCCATTTCTGAAGCTGGTCTTTTGCCAGCTTAAAAGCTGCTTATGCCTATAACCACCTGCATCCCAGCACTTTTCACTTTGATTCTATTTTATCTGGATTGAACCCAGATGTGCTAAATCTAATTTCAGACTTGAAGGACCGTGGTTAGTTTATTGTTTTGTTACTAATTGCTATACGGGACAATATGTCTTTGACTAGTTAAGACAGAGCCTGCAGACTGTTTTAATTAATTTTCCATCTCCAGGCTTCATTTTATTACTTTTTAAGGGGCATCTTAGTACTCATTCCCTAAAGGACAATCATTTTACAGATGTTTTTAAGAAGAGATTAAGCATTACTGCAAGTTGTGTAGTCATAATAAAACTGTTAGTCATGCTGAAGGAATAACTGTATAATTATTCAGACTAATCAGCTGATTGGTTAGACAACAAAATAATAAATCCAGTCAGGTCTTGCTTAACATCAGCATAATAATAAACTGTCGGGTAGGAGGGAAGAACTAAACATTACACCCTGCAGAAAGTATTCTAGCCACCTTTCTGTTGACAGCCCTAAACCTCATGTTTGAAGATTTTTCTGTGCTTAACAATAGCATCATTACTGCTAGCCTTTTTTAAAAAAATATTCAGATGCTTCTTAAAGGTTATTTCTAAGCAATGGCAGCAGTAAGGGTTTTCACCCAACTGAGGGCATGACGAAGGGTTGTGATCTCCTGTAGATCTGCCGGTTGTCAGTCCGTGGGCCTGGGAATGCTCAGAGGAGATGGCCCCTGCTCAGAACCGTGTTTGGGCATGAACCGTGCCCAAACAGGACACTCTTGCAGCATTTCTTAAGAAGACCTGACGTCTTATCTATTTAGTCATAAAAGAGCCAGCTGTTAATCTCTCGATTTTGTCATAAAATAGCACTCCCTTAATCCCTCTGTCTTTTTGCTGCACGGCTCCTGTAGAGTGAGGAGAGGAACAAGAGATCATATGTCACTTTTTGGACTCCCGTGAACGCACCCACCTCCCGTAGGTGCTGAAGACCTCACAAACTGTCCTAATTTACATCCATTTTTAATAGTCCCTTTGACTTTTTTTTTTTTGACCTGCAGCCAGGAGTTTAGGATGGATTCAAGCCTATTTTAGTCCTAGCTGTGGCATCTTTGGCACAGTGGCATCTTTGGAAATACTTGTGCCAAAGAAACCCCAGCCGATTTTAGGGCAGGTTTGTGGTCCCTGGGAGAGCTCCAGGGGCCCAGAGCTGGTTCCAGACTCTCAGCTGACAGCCGCCAGGGAATTGCTCTCCGTCCTAGCTGAGAGGGGAGTGCTTCCTAATGCTGTCTTTATTATGTTTAGCCTGCATGTCCTGCAATTGGTTTTTGTGAAGTTTGCAAACAGTTCACAATGGGAAAAAGAAAAGCAGACACCGAGTTAAAGTACAGGTCTGTCATCCCCTTGAAAGCAAACGTAAAAAAAACCAAACCAAAGCAAAACCGAAAAACCCTAGAGAGACTCTTGACCAAAGAGGGCTTGCAGGGTCATGGCTTGCATCACTCAATCAAAGTAAAAGCCAGGCTAACGTGCGTACAGTTGTCTGGTTATAAAGTAGAGGAAAATTCAAACCGGTTGAAAATGGTTTCCTTAAAATGATTACACTGATACAACAATGCGGCTTACACTGGCTGTTTGGGCCACCGCTTGAGTTTTAGAAAAAGCTGTGAGTTGTTATGATATTTTACAGTACACTATGGATTTTTAACCTAAGGAGAAGTTACTGTTTTCCACTGCAGTCCTCAGGAGCTTTCTGCAGGCGCGTTAGGCGTGTGGCCTTTGGAAAGGTTTAGTTAGTACATTCCTCTCCAGATTACGTCCTTCCATAACCATCATCCATCACCACGCTTCAGACAAGATTCAAGTCCCCTTTATTCCATGCCACTCCCGGATAGTCCACGCCTAGTGAAAATTAGGTATCCAAACTGTAGCCGTAGTAGCTTTATCTCATTCCTAGATGCAAATGGCCATACCTGCTAAGCTGAATCTTTTCTCTGTGCATGTGTGTTTGCTTAGAGAGAAATATGTTGCCATAACTGTAACTGCAACCTCAGTGCACACACTATCCCTCAGCTTACAAAAGGAAGGTTACCCCCAAGGTTCATAAAGCAAGTGACATTGCTCTTTAACCTTCCCATTTCATTTCTGACTTTCAGACTTTTTAGAGTGGAATGTTAGAAATCAGATTAAGGTGTTAGCACCAAAAGTGTTTGCTCCTGAATGGGAACACTGAACAGTTTAATTAAATGTAAGCTGTACAGCGTGTACCTTACTTTGTTTGGAAGTACAGCTGAGTTTATTCTCTTCCTGAGCGAAGTGCCCACTTTCATATTCAACCTCAGAAGTGTGCTGTCACAAAGTATTTATAATGAAGATTGGAGCTACGGCACAGTGTGTGTGTGTTTTGTTAATATTTCCTCTTCTATAGATGAAAAAAAATTCTTTGGGATGTTCCTTCTTTGCCAAATAGCCCTGTGGGCAAAAATTTCTTGCAGTGCAATAGGAAAAGGATTTAAAGCACTCAAAATACACGTTACATTTCCATATGTTTGAGTCTCCTTTAAGTGAGACTGCTTCAGGTGTTTGTTTATGAGACTAGCACGTAGACGAGGAGGTGGCAGAAAAATGGTTCTAGGGTCTAATTTAGTTTCAAAGTAATAAAAACTCAGCAGAACAATTAAGGTTCTGGCTATTTTTATTCTGCAAGCAGTTCTTGCTGCAGTGGTCATTTGTTTTAAGCTAATGGGACTTTCCATCTAAATAAGAGTAGCAATGAGACTCCAATTCCCCTAAATTGTACTATTTAGTGTTGCAAAAGTAAAGCCTTTAAAGCCCTTAGTAAACTTGCAGCCTAATCCTGCTTGTCCCTAATTCTTACTCATGTGCACAGTCCAATTAAAATTAATGGAATTAGGTGGAAAGAGTTACATTCCTTTGGGTCTGCACAGTCAGACCACTATTTATGCTGTCTCCTTAGATACTTATTGCTGCAGAATTCATTCAGAGTACTTGACCTGGAGTACTTATTGTCTTGAGTACCTCAGATCTTAATCATCGTGTACTGTAATAGCTTTCTCTGTAGACATTCAAATATTTCATGCCTTTTTACTGAACGTCTGCAGTTTTACTGTTTTGCTGTATTTTCATATCAGGACAGATTATTTCACTTAGCTACTGAACAATTTTGGAAACAGAGCTATGCATAACAAGGATAATGTTGTTTCCTGTTATTTCTCTTTTCTAAAAAAAAAATTCTTCAGAGGATATGCTAGAATGTGCACGAGACCCAATTCTGAGACTTGCTGTCACATATATGAGTTTTATAAGGTTTAGGAGGAGAAAATTAGAAAAAAATGGCACTTATGGAGCCACTTAGGACAGCCATTGAAAATATGCAAGAAAATTCACCATATTGCTAGCAATTTTTTTCTCTAGGAAAACAACTGTGAAAGAGGGTGACTGCTACTCAGTAAACTTCATAAGCTTCCAGTACTTCCCTACCCTTTGAGTCATCCTGTAGTTTTTAACACAGCACAGTTTATTACTGTGTGATTTCAAGGAATAATGGTTGTGCAGGTGCGTTTCGAAGAACCGAAAATCTAGTTTTTGTGAAAATATCTCCTGGGATTAAGAAGTGAGAGGAAAACCAATACCATCAGAAATGTTTCTAAACAGAAGAGGCAAAAGTATGCCTTATCGAAACAATAGTGCTTTCTAATTGTAGATGTATCACTGACTTGTTTGTAAAAATACTGTAAATCTAAGTCCTCATTTAGAGCTAACCAATAATTTTTCTTCTTCTTCTCTCCTGCTAGGTTGGACTGAAAGTGTTTTTTGGCAGATCAGGCCAGTGGTTTGGAAACAACAATAATGATGGTGACAAAATGTCTATCTTTCATGATCTGGATGGCTCCGTGACAGGGTACCAGAACACTTTCGTAGGCAGAGCGGACAACCACTTGCTTCGTCATCCCGGATGTCTCACCGTGCCCCGGTGGAACGGGATGATATGCACCGGGAAATTTGCCCAGGTAACGTGGGGAGGCTGCAAGCAAAGTTAGCGTGTGTGAGGCGGTGGATGTTCTCACATGCGGGCGAGAGGTGCTGGAGTGCCACCTATTCAACATTGCCTAAGATAAGAGAGAGTTGAATAATAAATTGGGTATAATTTTACTCTTCTCAGTGTTATCGGCCTATCCCCAAGGAGTCAGTAAAGCCCCTGCTTTGCAGCTTCCAGAAACCCATGCCTGCAAGGAGTCCTTCGCTTCCCATTTCCCATAAGAGGCTGCAAGTTGAAATCCTGTTGGGGAGAAGTTTGGGGGTTTTCTAGTCCTTTTTTTCTGTCCGTCCGCTCTGTTTTGGGGCTGTGGTGGATAACTGTCGACCTTATTTTCAGTAGTGGAAGATGCTACTCCCTTGACACATCCCCCACGTCCCAGCTGATGAAACAGAGTGGTTGAGACACATGCTCACACTTGGTTCTGCTTGCCCTCCAGAAACCACTGACTGAGGGAGAGGTCAGCCTAGGACAGGGTGGTCTTAAACCTCAGCCGTTTTCTTCAACGCACGTGAGTTAGAGGCCTTAGCTGAGATGTCAACGCCTTGGTAGAAAGGTCTGTGAAAGAATGGAAGAGGAGAATAGTAAACTGAGGGGAATCTGACCTCAAAATCAGACTATGATTCATCATACGCTGCTCAGATTTCCACAAGATTTTTGTGTGTGCAATAGAGCATGCTGTAAATACATGATTCTTCACAGCTCCCTTAGTCACCTGTGAGATATCGCAGGAGGCTCTCCTTGCTCCTCTACTTCTAGAGGTTATTCGTGCATTTACACAGAAAGGTGGCACGTCTGTTTCAAACCTCCAGTTCCTTGGAAATCTTGCCAGCCCTCCTTCACCCTTCTGTTGAAGAAGCTGAATGTTAAGACTATGTGCAGCAGGTGCACCCAGCACCACGTGGCCTGCAGCTGGGAGAGCATGTCCTGGGAGTCCCCAGGACATACGGCTTTTGAAAGGGACATGATGTTCTCCCTACCCCCAAGAACAACCCTTCACCACTCATCGAAGAGTGCGATGGGGTGAACTGCTGAAAGGCAAGAATGGAACATAGAATGGTCTTAAAATAAGATCAGAGTTCATTAGATACAGTCGATGTTTTTCTCTTCCTCTTGATCTTTTTTTCTTTTCCTTTTTCTTTTTTTTTTTTTTGACCCTCAAGCTTCTTCTGCCCTTTTTGGAGCATGCTGCCGTTTTATGTCTCATTGGCAGTCAGTAATCATTACCCAGGCATTAGTAGGGTAACTCAGCACAGAATAAAACCCTACCTGAAGTCATCAAAGACAGGGTAATGTTAAAATTGGCCCCTAAGAGGAGCGAACTGTCAGGTTTTGTTTTTTCACAAGCAGTTCTGTGAGCATGGGGATTAGCAGAGCCTAATTCCTTCAAGTTATGTCTGGCAATGGGTTGGAAACTCAGACTGATGATTTTTCAGCGTAGGGGGATTCCTGAGGACTCGTTCTCTGTGGCTTCTCTGATGTGTAGTGCTGTCTGGGCTTGCACCTCAGGCGTCCCCTCAGGCACTCTGCTCCTCTTTCTGCAAGGCTCTTCTCTGCATGAAACTTTTAGGAATTTATTTGTCTTTGAGACTTCTATGCGTTCATAATATATGCAGTCATATCCAGATCATGTGTTTCTATACGTTTGCTTTGGTTGCACAGCAGAGAGCAGGAATTGCTATTTAAGTCCCTAGATACTGGACTTATGTCCCCTGTTTTACTACTGACAGGTGGAAACAGGACTGGGCTCCTATGAAACAACCCCACTGAACTGAGGGTTTTGTGCTTGGCACCTACGTTTTACTCTGTGTCGCTTGAGAAATAATACTCAGTGCTCTGGCAACCTAACAGTTAAATTCAGAATTGTAAATAAGTAGACATTTATATTTTTATTTCTATTTTTACCCTCCCACTTATGGCACTCTATGTGGTGAGGCAGCTTTTCCACCATAGAAAATTTCCTTGGCTAAGTTCAGGCAAGTGGAAACATTAGCTTCTCTAGCATCCATTTCTTACCAGCGTTTTTCATCTAATAAACATTCAGATGAGTGAATGAAGTTTGTATTAAATGCTTCACTTTATGGGTTTGGGGAGGGAAACCTATATGTGTGCAGTGTAGAGGAAATTTGTCCTGTGCAGCAGGATTTGATTTAATTGGCAGGGTGTAATTGTTGGAGTACTTGAGCATAACCCTGATTCTCAGCAAACTGATGATTTGTTTGTGTGTTAAATTCTGAGTATCGTATTTCAGGCCAAAAGCCTAGAAGAGAGAATCTAATTATGGAGAAGGATGGTTTACTTTGATCTTAGCAGCTCTCTTACAAAACGTGTTTTTCTTTCCCGTTTGGTGTAGCAGCGCTAGACAAGAACTTTTATTCTTCCCTAGTGCAAGCAGGTGGAAATGCCCTTTCCGTTCAAGGAAATAGTGACTGTCACATTGCTGCTGAACTGGGCACAAGATGCTTAGACGAGGGATGGGCTACCTGGCATGGAAAAATGAGCTGAGTCCTTCAGCTGGTGTTGCAGCCAAATCCTTTAGGAGCAAAGTGCCTAGAGTTCAGTGAATTCCTTTCTACCTGTGTTCTTTCATTCATTTTCCTTGCTCTTTTTCACCCAGGAAAGGAAAAGTCTTGGGGAAATCCATTCCTTGGGCAGCACTTTTGCGTCCACTAAATCCTGCGAACAGACTTTCCTCAGGGTGCTTCAGTCTGAGAGCTCGTGCTTGTGCTCCCACCTCCTCGTGTCTGGCTCGCGTCCCTCGCTCCTCGCCATCCCCAAGCCGCATCCCGCCACCTTCCCTGCGCACTTTCCTCAAGCTTCCCTTCGGCAGAGAGCCCTGGGAAGTGCCACGTGCTGCAGTGCCCACGCTGCCAGCCTTTTCCTACCAGCAAAGATTTCTGGGATCAGCTTGAAATCGTGAGTTTTAGACAAGGGATATGCATCATGTCTTTGTTGTCCCCCCCTTTTTCATTTTGGAGCCTGTAGGATTTGTGCTGTCAAAACAGGGCCAACCTCTTTCTTTTTAATGACGGCTGAAACAGTCATGTTGTAATATTAATAAAGCAAGACTTTAAGGAAGAACATTACATAGAGAGAGACTTGCAAGGAAATCGCAAGAGCTGGCAGCACCACATCTTCTGGAAGGTCTTGATGACTCACTCAGACTCTGTCGGCAGGCGCAGAAATCCTAGGTGTCCCGTCAACCTGCCATTCAGCTGCTGCAAAGGCCTGTAATAACAGAAGAATGTAGGGAGAAGCCCATCCCATAATTATCTCCGTGTAGGTGAGTGAGATTTTCCAGGGCACTGAACTGGAGAGTCCTGAATGCCTGTGTTACTGTGGAAAATATAAATTAGATTCTTAAGCAATTTCTGATTTTTATATAAATCTTAAGACAAGTGCCTGGGCTCCCACTGGGCAGTAAAAGCTGCAGACTTACTGCTTCCTCACTGACTTTGCAGCAATTTGTCAGAAGAGGCTGTGCAACTTCTCTTTTTTGGTACTTTATTGAAATAGGCAGTGTTTCGGAAGGTGTGTGCTATTTGCTTATATAAGCAAAAAAGGTGTTAGATATTCATAAGAGATTGCCACATAGCTAAATTAGTGTAAGTTTTGAATTAAAGAAAAATGAATGCCTTGGTATTATAAAATACTTTAAGGCCAAGCTGTTGACTTTTCACCCGTTCACTCCACTTGGTCACTGCCTTCCTGCGGATGGCTCAAACAGAAATTGTTCCATTTCAGTTAACGCTGTTTCTGCGGTGAGTGTTTGCAATTACACTGATCCTGCATCTTCTCTGTGCTAAGTTACGTCCCTTGAGCTGGCATCCTCTTGTATATTCAGTGCCTGCTTAGCTGGTTCGGATACTGATGTTTCTATATGGAAAGCGAGCAAGAGACACAGGAGATAGCCAGCCGTGCTAGGGCAAGTTGCCTTTTCCAAGCACAGGCAAAACTGTATGTGCACATGTAGTCTGTGGCACTAAAGGAGTGTTAGCACCTCACAGACCGGAAAGAAGGAAAAGTCTGCAGGATATATTTCTGCTAGTAGTGTACGTATGTGGACAAAGAGGTCCACTTTTGGCCTCTGATGCACACCAGTAGAAATTCAAGGTAGTTCTGCTGGCATCAGCATCAAGGTGCTGTTGTTTTTAGGGCCAGAACTGATCCCAGCATGTCTTATGGAAAGAGAAACCTGTATTTTCTTTCTGAAGGAGTTTTAAGGTCCTCATTTGGAAACTTCATAGAGAAAAAATTGTTGTCCTGGGAAATAAGCCTTTCTTGAACAGTCAAACAATCAGAAGAGCAGAATGTGTGTTTTGAGCTTCTCCTTTTTAAGATCTTTTGCCCCACTTTGACAGCCGACAGCACAACCGAGCAATGTCAAAGAAATTAGAAAGTGAGCAAGAAGTCTCTCAGAAACCAAGACTTTCTCTTCTAGTACTTTGCATTTTGCTTATCTTCATATTAGCTATCCAGTTGAATAGCAAATCCCATATGAATTGTAAAAGAACTTATCTTCTCAGTTTCACAGTCTCCTTGGGAAAATTGCCATGTAAGCAGAGGGAAATCTGACACATCTTTTCAGCATGAAGTGTTAAGCAGCTAAAATGACAACTATGTCCATTAAACCATCCAGACAAGTAGTAGGATCACATTTTATAACATTTTAACTAGCTCTTCTTCTCCTACTACATTAAGCTGTCACCACTTCCCATGTTTTAGAGTATCTTTATGACCCACTGTCTTCTCTTAAATAATTCGATAGATCTAACCAAAAATCAGATGTTACTAGGAAGATGGAGTTTTTATCCTAGAACAAAATTCTCTTTTCACACCCCTTTTTTCTCTTATTCTCCAGTGTTTTGTCCTTGCAAATGTAGATGCAAGGAAGGCAAGTGATAAAGTTCTCCAAGATCAGCTCAAATGAGTAAAGGTGTGACAGAGGAGGAACAGACTGAGGAAGAAAGAGGCCATGTTGTGACTTCCTAAGAAGAGTATAGAGGGATGGTGACTAATGCTTCACCTTCCTTGGGTCAGTGGAGCTCAAGGTTTCTTTTTATTTCACTCGGGTCACTGAGTATTAAAGTAGCCTTTGGTGGATGATGCCTCTAGGATTTTTCTAAAGTAATCCAGTGGTCTTGACTGTAGTCTCAAAAGGGTAGCATACACCCGGTATTAGAACTGACATTGGTTGGCATCACAGGAGGGAGTTGAGCTGAGTCCAATAGCTGCAGGAAACATCTCGGTCAGTCCCTGCTCCCATGCAGAGTCCTGTTGACTTAGTGATGCTCCACCTGGGTGAAAGAGTCATTCCACGTTGGATCTGGATTTCTGGATCAGGGCATTTACCCACTGTCATCTCCTTTAGCGATAAACATTTTGAAAGATCTACCAGATATAGTACTGTTTTTCTACGGGGCTGAAAATTGCATCCTTAATGACTTGCAGTTCTGGAAGACATTCATTTATTGGCCATCATGGGAGACAAAGTCAGTTTACAAATATTTCTAGCAAGGCACAAAAATGACAGTTTTTCTTGTTCTAGTAATTACTGTCTCATTCTCAAAACAGCTGTAACTATTACCCTTTACGTCAGGCCTGTGACTGAGTCCCTAGACACCTGAGAAAATATTACCAACAGACACCTGACACGTGTTCTTTGTCGTCTTATTGTTGTAGCATACGGCAAGCTCTTCCAGTACTTTATTGAACCCAGTAACGGTAGTTTTAGGCTATGAACAGTGTTTTGATTTTGGATTTTTTGTTTGTTTGTTTGTTTGTTTTTAAACACAGTCAAATACCTTAAAGTATATGGGAACCTTTTATTCTTGGTAGTCTCGAATTTATAAACTTTTGGATCTCCTTGAATGTGTTTCTATAGTTTCTTGGCTTATTTTATTGTTGTTGCTTCTAATTTTCTAGCAAGTGCACTGTAGCTGCCACCTTTAACGTTCTGTGCCACATATTTGAAGGAAATAACTTTGAAATTTATTATGACAGGGCAGAAACTGTTGTCTTTTGTCCAGAAAGACACAAGTAGGGTACTGTTTTGCAGTATCAGACGTCATTTAAACTATTCTTTGTCACAAAAAATGCTGTTTTGATTGAGAATGATCAATGCCTTCATGGACTTCCAGATCAGAGGGGGTCTTTCTGATCACCTGTTCTGACCTCAGCCCTACACTGGCCAAGGGGGAAAAAATGAGGCTGAAATGTGGTTTATTGCCTTGTACATAACTGACTTTCCAGTCATTGGTTGAATTTTCAGGGAAAATAAGTTTTCCTCTTTGGTTGCATAGATAAAAAAGGTCTTTTATGAGACTGTAAAAGTAATTTACTCTTTCTTGAGCCATGAAAAATGAGCAAATGGCCTACTACTCAGAGATTGTTTGGGGCAAATTACTTCATCAATAGTTTTGGCCATCAATAAAATCTGGTGTTTGATACAATTCCGAGATAAGAATTAATCTCCAAGGATCTATGGATACTACTCAGGGCAGGGTTTCATCATTAAAGGTTTGTGCTAATGTAAAAGGAGGAATGGACTAAATGTCCAAGAAGCTTTTACAGTCGCTTTTGGATGATTTTTTTGACGTGCAGCCCAGATTTCCAACTTGAGTGTCTAACGTGAGGCTGTTGGATTCAGGGGCCAGGCGGGGATTAGGCAGAAGTGGCCTGCCTTTCATGGGTGCTGAGTAGCCTGAGCTCAGCAATGCCAAGAGCAGGCTCAAGCGTGGGCTCTTTCTGAGCACCAACTGCCTCTGTTAGAGCTGGAAACTGGAACTGGGAGCCAAACTGGCAACCTCCAGGCAGGAATAGTGCAGCTTTAGATCTCAAGCTGAAACAATTCCAAGAATATCATGCCATAAATCAACTTTAAATTAAATAACTCTCCTGCTGGATACCCCACCTCTGTCTTCTGTCAAATTAATTTGGTGTTGCTAAGGAGTTACATTCCAAGGAGAAAGCAGCAAGAGGCTGCCACTTTTGGCCACACATGGTTCACCAAAATGCAAATCAAGTGTCATGGCAAGCACCTGCCTCTTGGTTGTGGTTTGGAGTTAGTAAAGCAATTCCTCTTGTGTTGTAAGGACATGATAGCTGTGATTGTTTTGAGTATGTAGCTACTAGAAACTCCAACTAAAATAAGCCCATATATAAAACAGTGGGAGACAGCCTGCTTTGCAGAGGTTTCAGTCTGAGTAGACAAGGTGAGGAAGAGAAGCAGATATGGAGATGCGAAGGGCCAAGGTCTCATAGCAAGATCCAAGAAGTGCTCACATGAGAATGCATATATCCCAGACAGCAGCTGTGCTTGTATCCTTGCCCGTGGTATTAAAGTCTCTTAAAAGACTACTGCCTCCATTTTGACCTTCCTCAAAGACAGAAATTGAGTTTAAAAATAATTGTGCTGGAGAGATACCCATGTAGAAACTTAGATATTTCTGAGCTAATTTGGATTTTTGCTTGATATTTTAAGAAGTTCCTCATGCCAAGAGCACTCTTTGCCTTGCAAGAGAGGGAAGGAAGAAGCATCATAGCTCTTCTCAACTGCCCTCGACGTATTTGAAACCTTTCAGGAATATGACAAGCTACATCCCTGCGTGCTGAAACAAATTTATATGACTGGCTGTGCATCCTCCTTTTGCACTAGAATGTCACACGGGGCACAGCAGATGAACGTCACGTGTTCGGCCCTAAAGCTAACAGTTTCCACATGAATTGCCTTTCATTTCAGTGGTGACAGGACAAGGAAAAACATATTGTTGGGGTGTAGTTTGGTAATTGGCCTGTAGTGTTGATCTCCAGGCCAAGGGCATTTTCTAGTGCCTGTACAGAAGAGCTCTCCACTGAAGCGTGTGCAACATGTTATTTTGCATGTAAGGGCATGTAGGCAAGTCATCAAGTTTTAGTCCCAAAAATTTCAGCCTTGTCTGCTACTCGAGGGCAGAGATGTGGATTTCATTAGATTACTGGACCTGATCCAAACCCAGTTGAAATCAATTAAGAGTTTTCTCCATTTCCAATGGAATAAGCCCATTTTTAGAGTGAAGATATTTGAATTCATAAATAAGAAGTCACTTTGTGGTATTTCCGTGATTAGTGATTAGCTTTCTCTCTTAAGAGTTTGAATAGTGAGCATTTTCATGGTGCTGCACAATTTATTTATCACTTCATGGTGTTCCTGCAAACGGCTGCAGATGCTATTTCTGTTTTACCTTTGTATTTGAACTGGAAATGTTTCAGTGACTCTCCAAACATTCTGAGTTCTTCGTTGGCAAAAGCCGTTTACAGGCAACAATGATCAAATGCACATGTTATGGCAGAGCCTGGCTGGTTTAATGGATGTGTCTGTCATTTTCCTTTCACTCTCAGCTTTATATTCAGGCCAGACGCCCTGAAAATCTGACCTTATCCATTGCCAGAGCAACATACCATTCCCATCCCTTGTGGTTGCAAGGCGTGAACCGAGGAGTACCGTACCAGCAGTACCAGCCAGTCGTCATGCTTGAGCAGGCTTATATCGTCCAGTGGGACGGCAGAGCACCTGAGGATGTTATCCTGTACCCGATCAACTTCAACAGGTACCACCCTATCCTGTTAGAAAATGCTCTATTTTCAGCAGAGCTGGAGCTATAATGATTTTCCAGCTTCTCCACAACCAGCCTCTTAAATGTGTCAGCAATTTCTGAGAGCATTGAAGCAAGATGTTAATGACTGGTATTTACCGATGCAAAGAGATGCCTCTGCTTTCACTTTGTTCCAGTGGTTTTGATGTGCAGAGATGTTTCTCTTTCCAGTAAGACTGAAACAGAATCCAAGTAAGTCCTGGCCTGGTCTCCCTGAAATGACTCCAGAGGAACGCTGGCTCTTGTTCGCTTGTTTGTACTACTTGCTGCACACATAATTTATCTCCCATACATATATAAAGTGCAAAAATACATCAGAATGTGCACAGAGCTTTGCATTTTCTGTAAACCAAACAGCACTGCAACCACTGTTTCTTTCTAACATGAATTTTTAAGACATTACAACTCAGTACAGCAAAATCGTAGGCTGTGCTGCATTTATTTTCCATGTTTCCTTCCATCTCATCATGTTTCCTTCCATCTCATCTAGTGTTGTATAAAAGCATGACATACCCATT